TTTTTTTTTTTTTGGACGGTGAGTCCCGGCTACCAGTCAACATCCAATCCCCTTTTTTGTTTCTCTTTCCCCTGACAGGAGCGCACGACTCAGGGCTCGGCCAAGTCCAGCCAGGGCTGAGAATGATTTCTTGGATTCCGGGAATACAGGCAAATGTGCCGCGGCCAGGGGGTAGAGATTCCGCCACGGGGACGTTGACGACGACCCCTTTGAAGCATTCCAGGGATCAAAAAGAAGCGGTGACGGGTTGATTCTGCAGCTCCTGCCGCTGCGTACATAGTGTGGCATGCGGTAGAGTCGGCAGTGGCGAGGAGGCCACACAGAAGGCACGCGCCCCAGGACTCGCTCACAACTGTGACCTATCGACCGAGGCCGTGCCATAGCCGAGTCTGGATATATGGTTATCACTTGACATTGCTTCTTTTACCTATAGAGACAAGACAGAGAGAGAGTGGCAATGGAGAGGACTGCCGACGCGTCGTCGTCCACAGCCTCCCCACGAGCGTATCCGAAAGAGGAACCGGCACGATACGGGGCAGATATTGACGCACCCTCTTCTGGCCGGGCCGAGACCGCAGCGAGTGAGCCCCATTGGCCATGTGCGCTGGCCATTGTTTCGGGTTTCATGCACCGGCCGGCCACCCAAGCCTAATCCTTGCGGGCGGCGAAGTGACAGGCACGCAGAAAGGGTTGATCGGCAAACGCTGACCGAGACACGGAGAGCTGCAAGCTGCCAGATCAGGAAGGCAGCAAGACGTCATCAGGGTTGGTACCTGGGCGATGTGAGGAGAAGGTTGCGATGGCGGGGTTCATGGTGACAGCGCACACGTGTCAGAGAGTCACGGCGGCTACATCCCAGCTTATAGCAGAACTCGGGCGAGATAGTTGATTCCATTTCATAAGAGTGGTAGTTTTGGAGTGTGTGAAGTACCATCCCTGACTTTCCCTTTTCTGTCAAAGCTGTCATACCTCGGACAGCGCAGCCACGGTACGGACGTGCCGCAACGGTGGCATGGGCGGGGAAGCTACTGCCCACACTAGTCTATGTAGGTGCCTTGTCTATCCAGGTGTCTCGACTTGGCGGTTGGCCCAAGAGCATTGCTCACAAGGTTTTGGGTCGCGGCCCGTCGTGCCATGCCGTTGGAAGAACGGATGAAAGAAAAAAAAGGGTTTCCAGACACAGGGCGATCTTGGGAACATGAGACGAGAGAGGGGAGAAAGAGACGACAGACAGGAAGATTTGGACGCCAGTCGTTTCGCACATGTGCTTAACGCCACTCGCATATACCTATCACGGCATCCCTTCTCCCCTCCCCAGGATCCAGCCAAGACCCGACATCTGATAAAGGGAAAGGACTATGCATATGCCCGTCTTCCGACAAGGCACCAGCTTATTAAGGAGGTGGGAAGGGGACGGTGCCCAAGGAAGGAAACGAAAACAAATGAGAAACAGACGCCAACAACGGCAGCAGCAAAGCCTGGCGGCGGCGGCGGCGGCAGTGTGGAGCAGGCCGTCCATAGCAGGTCCTTGCTATACGTAGTAGATGGCACCTAGACGGGGGCCCGAGGGGAGGCAACGGTTGCATCACGATGTGCTCCGTGACGCGCTTCGGTGTCCCATCTTCAAGCCCCCGCCCTCGCTACTGATTATCTCGGCCCATTTTTTGCAGCCAAGTCGCTTGCGGGCTTCATGCCTGGCAGTCCAGACTTTTACGTTTCCTCTCAAATTCCTGTTTGTCTCTTTCGGCCGAGAGATGCCAAGGGGACCTTTTTTCCTATCGTTTTTTTTTTCTTTCTTTCTTTCGTCAAGCGTCTTGCCAGCACCACGCTCGGCATATCCAAAACACGCTCGCCGCCGGCCTTCCTCTAACGATATGCAAACGCCCCGCAGTTTGGCGGGCAGACGAAGCTATGCATGCGGAGCTCTCCATGGGGGTGGGGTCTAGCTGGGGCGGGTTGGGCCATGGCCGAGGACGTGAAATGCGTCGCTCGCTCGCGCGCGCAAGTGCTTCTTTCCATATGTCGTCAGATATTATAGCCCGGCGGACATTAAGACCAAAGACGGGGACGTGGCCGAGAAAGGCCGCATTAAGCGGGCCGGAAGCGAGGAGGAGAAACAGAAACGCAATACGACAAGGCGGGGGGGCATTGGTTGTTTCTCGTCGGGATCCCATGACGGCGGCCGGGAGAGGCAGATGCCATCCCAACATCTCAAATACCGTTTCCATAGAGAGTCAATGCTATGCTGTGAGCCAACAACATTCTGCGGGTTGGTCGGTCGACAAAGAGGACTTCCCACCCATGTCGGAGGGGGGACCCCTCCCAGTTCAGGCAGTTGGGCGTCCCGTTCATGCCGGGGACCCATCCTGGGTTTCATGGGTGGAATGGCGATCGGGATGCCATCGTGGTGCGTTGGAGCTGCCGGCTTGTGGTGCAAGCATTGGAGAAAACTCCGAATGTGCAGCAAAAATCGCCCGAGTGCGGGTGCTTCACTCGACTCTTGCGTCGGATAGGAGGGAGTGGGGAAAGCGGAAGATGAAAAGAGTCGAGAGGAAAAAGAAGTGTTAATGTCGGCAGGGCGCGCCGAGGCGGCCAAGGGTCTGAGTCCCGTCGGTGGCACCCTTTCCAAATCGGGAATATTTCACAGTAGCTGGGGGGTCTGAATTCTCCGCTGGTGCGAGGAAAGGGCTGCATCACACATCACACACCGATTTTTCCTGCAGACGGCCAACCTACATGGCCCTTTCCGGGAGTGTGTCTTGCCGTCTAGGCACTCGTCCGGAAGGGGGAGAGACAGCAAAGGTGCCGTGTCGGAAAGACAAAAGGCAACATGCGTGACGCAGCGGGCTGTGGAGATGTTGCTTGAAGGCCGAGAGGGATGGAGGGGTGTGCGTGCCTTGGCAGTGGAACATTAACCACACCATCCTTCGTGCCCTGGCGACAACTTGGCTTGGTTGACGAATTGTAGCTTTTTTTATTTGATTTTCTCGAACGTCACAAGCTTTTGTCCCCCCCGCCCGAAAACGTGTTTGGCGAAAGCAATGAGAGCAATCATGATGTAGAGTGCCATCGTCTTCTTTTGATGAACATATGGTGCGCCGTGAACCCACGCGGAAAAGGAGGCAGGAGGTCAAGATCGGCGGATGGTGCTACAAATCCGGTCTGGCGAACCCCCGACACCCGACACCCGAACGATCAATGCCTTTGGGGAGCCCGCCCGGGAAGTCGGTCAATCGGAGATTTTTTTTTTTTTCTCCTCTGAGAGAAGACTGGGCTCGACCGACTTGTCGGCCCAGCAAACCGAAACCCTTCCCTCCAAAAAGGAACAGACGAACCCCGCCCCCGCAGCATAAAGCGATGCGTGCAGATCAGCGCACTTGAGGCTAGTTCCGTTAGACGGCCACTAGGATTCGCGCTTGCCCTCCACAGTCTGATCTGCTTTGCCGGTAGCTTGGCTCGTTCGTGGGGCCCTGGCGTCCTCATCGTCGTGGGCAGCGTAGCAGCTCAAGAGCTTGAGGCTGGAGCGAGGTTAAACGAGCGATGGCGGGCTGGGATATTTGTCATTTGTCGTCCCCTCCATCAGTAGTCTGCCATGTGTTGGTGTCCCCCCCTAGCAGCAGCCGACCTAACTCATGGGCGGTGTCCAACTTGGCAAACACGAAGCACAGCACCCAAGCTCCCCCATCAGAAAATGCAGCGGCCCGATTCGGAAAGGGGAAGGCGTGGGTGTGGACACACAGCTGCAGCCCGTTTCTCAGGGATTGACCAAAAAAGGGTAAAGGGTTGTCGTAACCCCACCCCCTTCTCCCCTTTCCCCTCTCTGATGCCCAGCCCGGCTCCTGGTCTGCCGAAAGAAGGGAAGCAAGA